TCATCATGAAAAGTAGACAAAAGTCTATGAGCTCTCTTCCCTTTCAGATATGATCTTTACCCAGCATCGACCGTCTCATCTTGTGGAAAACATTGCTCATCTTCTCCAGAGCAGCAAAACATACACTGGGCAGAGCTCTCAGCCAGGAGGATCCTGAATGCCAGGTGACAGGGAATCAATAGACTCAGCCGCATGGGCAAATTTGTTCTTTTGCAAGTCTGCTCCGGCCCTCAGACAGGCAGGCCCCAGGCGGTAAGGCCACAATGCCATTGAAAATGTTTTCAATGCTCTGCAATTGCAAATCACATTTTAAACATTCTTTATCATTATTGTAGACCCATTGATCCACTGCTCAAATTTATATGGTATTTTATTTGGCAATCCCATTTTAGAAGGTGTAGGCCGCATTTCGAGAATGCGTTCAGACACTTCCCACGTACTGAGGGCAGTGTACTAGTCAACACATCTCGACCTCAGATCAGACGAGATGACCCGCTGAATTTAAGCATATAAATAAGCGGAGGAAAAGAAACCAACAGGGATTCCCTGAGTAACGGCGAGCGAAAAGGGAAGAGCCCAGCGCCGAAGCCCGCTCTCGAGAGGGAGCCGGGCAATGTGGCGTTTAGGAGTGAGCGTGCCGGCGGTTGACTCTGCAGCAAGTCCCCCTGACCGGGGCTGTAACCCAGAGTGGGTGCGAGGCCCATAGCTGCTAGGTCTCCGTCGAATGCGATCTCCTTGGAGTCGGGTTGCTTGGGAGTGCAGCCCTAATCGGGTGGTAAACTCCACCTAAGGCTAAATACGGCCGTGAGACCGATAGCAAACAAGTACCGTGAGGGAAAGTTGCAAAGAACTTTGAAGAGAGAGTTCAAGAGTACGTGAAACTGCTCAGAGGCAAACGGGTGGGCCCTCGAAATCCTGTGGCGGGAGGATTCAGTTTTGTGGCGTGGACTCTACGTTTGAGAATTGACTATGGCTCCGCGGAGGCGGCCTCTCATTCATAGAGCTTTCGCGTTATAGAACGCATTTGTTTCCCGTCCGAAGGACCCCGCAACCGGTTACGAGACGGCCTTAAGGGCGTGCAACGGCAGTTGGCCGGTGGTTCTTTCACTAGGATCGTCGGCTGTTAGCCAGCGCGCCGCACGGCTCGTAGCGTGACCGTGGTGTCGCGAGGCCTACTTAGGCTTCTTCGCCTCCTCCGTTCGCGGATGCCTGGACGAAGTGGCAGGGGTGAGCACTTCTGAGGGCGCACGGACTGACTCCGTGGCCCATCGGAAGACAGCTTCCTCGTTGGCTGCTGTGGACCAGTCGGAGGTCGGCGGTTCGCGGGGAGTAGATCGGTCACCCACCCGACCCGTCTTGAAACACGGACCAAGGAGTCTAACATGTGTGCGAGTCAATGGGTCTCGAATAAGCCCAGAGGCGCA